GTGTGTGCGTGTGTGTGTGTGTGTGTGTGTGTGTAGATTTGAAGTCCATTGAAAAGTCATAGAGATAATAATGAGCCCAGGAACAATGACCACCCTTAGATTGTGGATTTCAAATGCCATTTCCTACAAAAGTTAGGGTTTTATAAATAAACTACTGATTCTCGGAATAGGCAGAAAATGCCTCAGTTGAGCCTTCACTCTCTTGTCAACAAGAAAGCCAGGATGCTCTCAAAAATCACAGGGATCTTATGGAAAGCACTTAAGAGCCAATCTCAAGAGAATGCAACTGGACATGGATGGGGCAATGTGAGCATCAGTAATTACTCCAATGAATCAAAATATACCAGATATCTTAAAATACATCAGTTCATAACAAGGCCCTCTGCTTAAATAGTCAATCGCTCCCTTGGAAGTGTGCTAGGAAAGCATCTACTTATTTTGAACATTGACAAATAAAGGGAAAGAATTAAAAATTTATCTTGTCTTATCATGGAAATGAGAGAATGATTGGAGGGAACTTTCTTTTTATAGGACTTTTCCATCTAATAAATAAGGAAAGAATGATAGGATTTGATGTCATCACTTCTGACCCTTAATGAAATTTAGGCCATCATTAATGTTGATTAATGTCAAAGAAAGAGAGACAACCAAACATTATGTGCCTTCTGAGGGAAGTTTATAGCTGAACCTATGATGTATTCCCACCAAATAGTTAAACAGAATCACATCAAGCCTCTACTTAAATATAACTTCACACAAAACACTGGAACTAGAAGAGCAGGTGAAATGACACCATGGGAATGTTTATCAACACAATGTGAACTACCCGGTTCTTTTGGAAAAAAAGACTTTCCCCTTCTTACACAGAGAAATTCTCCAGAAAGAAACAGGGAAGGTGAGAAAGCTATATATTAAATAAATATAAGAGAAACCAAACAATTGCAATTTATGAATCTTAATTGGACCCAATTTCAAACAATTTTTAAAATTATGAGACAATCAGGGGAATCTGAAGGCAGCTGGGAACTTTGTAAAAAATTCTATTTCCTTTTTGAAGTCAGATTATGGTCATATTTTTAAATGGTTTCAAATATTTACTGATAAAATGAAACTGGTATTTGCTTCAAAATAATGTGGGGTGGCTGG